TATCTTCAGTGAACGTTGATAGTTCATCATCAGTGAATGGCGGTGACATGATTATTTCTCTTTCTACCTTCAGTGAAAGTTTGTAGACCATCGGCAGTGAACGTCGATGTTTATCATCTTTTTGCTATCTTCAGTGAACATTGATAGTTCATCATCAGTGAACGGCGGTGCTATGATTATTGTCTTGCTATCTTCAGTGGACGTTGATAGTTCATCGTCAGTGAACGGAGGTGATATGATATATTCTATTTCTACCTTCAGTGAAAGTTGGTGGACCATCGGCAGAGAACGTCGATGTCTATTATCTTTTTGCTATCTTCAGTGAACGTTGATAGTTCATCGTCAGTGAACGATGGTGACATGATTATTTCTCTTTCTACCTTCAGTGAAAGTTGGTAGACCATCGGCAGTGAACGTCAATGTTTATTATCTTTTTTCTATCTTTAGTGAATGTTGATTGTTCATCGTCAGTGAATGGCGGTGCTATGATTATTATCTTACTATCTTCAGTGAATGTTGATAGTTCATTGTCAGTGAATGAAGGTGATATGGTATATTCTCTTTCTACCTTCAGTGAAAGTTGGAAGACCATCGGTAGTGAACGTTGGTGTTTGTTATCTTTCTCTCTGCCTTCAGTAAACGTTGGTAGCTTCGCCTTCAGTTGAAGTTAGTGTGTCCTTTCACCATCCTACCATACTCTCTGATTCAGGCCTTTTGGTCTACCAGTGATTTATTTTCCTGGTGGAGTTGCTCCTTTGTTTCTTTATTATTGTTGCATCCCCAATGTTATCTTTGCTTCTCTTTGGTCCTTTTCATATGCATTCATATGCATAAGCATTTGCATGGCATCTTAGGGCCAAAAATAGGGTTTGTTTTATATTTAAGTATCTTCGATCGCGTCGATAAGAAGATTTTTAACCTTCGTATCTCCGGATAGAAGAAACTTAAATAAGGGCAGCTGTTGTACCCCAATTCTTTCCCCTAAGATCCCTTCATCATACCATGTTGATTCATTCACAACAAGATCACACTAGGATTCTTGGTTCCTCTCCCTATATTTATCTTTTCCCTTTTGAGGAATCACCAAGCACCTTGACTTATGTTCTTTTGTGATCATGAATATTGTTTTTGTCTTGATTTCTTCATTTAACTAATAAAATGAAATGTTGGTTTGTCTTGCTTTTTATCCATGTAGGTAAAGGCAATGGGATTTAACAACTTACCCCATGGGTTCATGAGTTTATTTCCATGCCCTAGTCAATATAGTTTGAGAAATTCAAACCTCACCATTGGATTGGTTTTGGTAGGATTGGTATGGCAAGGTTTCTTTGGTTCATCACATTTCAAGGTAATTAGATTTGACTCAAAATTACAAGGGGTTGATTGGAGAAGTTGTCATGTTTGGACAAGGTTTTGTTCCTATTGGTCACAAGAGCATATTTATCTTAAATTTCAAGATATGGAAGTGATTTTGGTGGCTATGAGTCTTCATTATCATCCTCAACAAATTCTATTCACAAAGCAAGAATATTGGTACAAGAAGTTTGTTCAAACTTGTCAAAGTTCTCCAAGGCATTTTCTTGATCTAGAAGCTAGGGTTTTGAACTTCAAAGGAGTATATCTTGTTCATCTTTTGGTATTTTTGAGTGATTTCAAAGACATCCTTCTCTTTAAAGGGTTATTAACAAATCACTTCAAAAGTTTCAAGGAGTTTTCATGTGGAAGAAACTTGGTAAAGAAGAAAGATTACAAGTCCTCCAGATGAATCTACCAATCCTCTAATGGATCTATAACACCTTTGGTCAACGTGGATCACTTAAACATCGTTGATCATTAAATGTTACTTATGAGAATTCCAAATGGATGATATACTTGACAAAGCAAATGAAACTTGTTGTGTAGAGGATTTGGTTCTACCAATCCTATAATGAGTTTCAAATGCAAGTTTTAAGATGGTCATCTAGCTAACCACTAATTATTGACTTGTTTTATCTTATACTTTTATTCTTTTTTATACTTTATGTACGATTTACTTTTAGCATTTACATTTCATGCCATTTTCATCTTTGCTCATTTTAGCATTTATTTTCTTGCCATTTTTACTTTGCTCACTTGAGCTTTTCTTTTCCTTTCTTAAGATACTTAATAATCAACATAAACCCTAAAAAATCTTTAATGGTACTTGGACTATTTGGTTACTATCCTTGGCATTATGGAGCATGGGACTTTTCTTGGACTTAGGATTAGAAACCTTGGCCTATCTTGGAGATCTTATATGATTATTTTGTCTGGAGTTCTTGAGGTTTACCTCAAGACATTGGGTTGCTTGTTTGTTTTTGTGTGCAGGTTTTTGTGATTACATCCTCTGTTTAAAATCTGGAATCACCCGTATACAGCCGTTACTCTGCCCAATTTATTTGACATAACTTATGATCATATCATGTTTGCATTCCCTAAATCATAAGAAATCAAAGTATCCTGGTCCTCTTCTATTTCCTCTTCTAAATTTATCTAGACGCCTTTTTTATTAACAGTTAACAATATTATCACAAATCATTGATTCATCTGGTATATAAATATACGATTCATTTACGAGTTTACTAGATCGATAATTTTCATTTTTGAACATAAAAAATTACTATAGATATAATGTCACATTCAATAAAGATTTATGATACATGTATAGGATGTACTCAATGTATCCGAGCCTGTCCCACAAATGTATTAGAAATGATACCTTGGGATGGATGTAAAGCTAAGCAAATAGCTTCTTCCCCAAGAACAGAGGACTGTGTTAGTTGTAAGAGGTGTGAGTCCGCTTGTCCGACAAATTTCTTAAGTATTCGAGTTTATTTATGGCATGAAACAACTTGAAGTATGGGTCTAGCTTATTGATACGTTTCAAAAAACACCACACGAATACATTTTTTACTGGAAAAAACTCGTGCTCAAAGTAAAATAGAAAAAAAATTTCTATTTTATTTTGAGCACGGGCTTTTCTGGCCCAAGTGTATCTTATTTTTATCACGAATGATTTTCCTTGGTTAACAATAGTTGTTGTTTTCCCAATAGCCGCAGGTTCCTTCATTTTCTTATTTCCTCATAGGGGAAATAAGGTAATTAGGTGGTATAGCATTTGTATATGCTTAATCGATCTCCTTCTAACAACCTATGCATTTTGTTATCATTTCCAATTGGATGATCCTCTAATTCAACTGACGGAGAATTCTAAATGGATCAATTTTTTTGATTTTTACTGGAGATTAGGAATAGATGGACTCTCTATAGGACCTATTTTACTAACGAGATTTATAACTACTTTAGCCACTTTAGCGGCTCAGCTGGTTACTCGAGAATACCAATTATTCTATTTCCTGATGTTAGCAATGTATAGCGGTCAAATCGGACCATTTTCTTCTCGAGACATTTTACTTTTTTTCTTCATGTGGGAATTGGACTTAATTCCCGTTTATCTACTTTTATCCATGTGGGGGGAAAGAAACGTTTGTATTCAGCTACAAAGTTTATTTTGTACACTGGAGGAGCTTCTATTTTTTATTAATAGGAATTCTGGGTATCAGTTTATATGGCTCTAATGTACCAACATTAAATTTTGAAACATTAATTAATCAATCGTATCCCGTGGCACTAGAAATAATATTATATACGGAATTTCTTATTGCTTTTGTTGTCAAATCGCCGATTATACCCTTACATACATGGTTACCAGATACCCACAGAGAGGCACATTACAACACTTGTATGCTTTTAGCCGGAATCTTATTAAAAATGGGAGCGTATGGGTTGGTTCGAATTAATATGGAATTTTTTTCCCACGCTCATTCCATATTTTGCCCATGGTTAATGATATTAGGTTCTATCCAAATAATCTATGCCGCTTCAACATCTTTTGGTCAACGTAATTTAAAAAAAAGAATAGCTTATTCTTCGGTATCTCATATGGGTTTTATAATTATAGGAATAAATTCTATAAGTGATACTGGTCTCAACTGGGCCATTTTACAAATAATATCTCATGGATTTATTAGCGCTGCCCTTTTTTTCTTGGCAGGAACTAGTTATGATAGACTGTGTCTTCTTTATCTTGACGAAATGGGCGGAATGGCTATCCCAATGCCAAAAATATTCACTATTTTCACTATCTTATCAATGGCTTCTCTTGCATTGCCTGGCGTGAGCGGTTTTGTTGCAGAATTGATAGTTTTTTTTGGAATAATTACTAGTAAAAAATATCTTTTCATGATGAAAATACTAATTACTTTTGTAACAGCAATTGGAATTATATTAACTCCTATTTATTTATTATCTATCTTACGGCATATGTTTTATGGATACAAATTTTTTAATACACCAAACTCTTCTTTTTTTGATTCAGGGCCCAGAGAATTATTTATTTTGATTTCAATTCATATACCGATAATAGGTTCAAAAAAACTGTGTCTTTCACAACGGAATCGTATAAGTGAGATTTCGAGTAAGTCTTTCCATAATTTTATGGTAGACATGTACAAAGATCTTTTTCACACAAATAATGAGTCACCATTCATATCGACACATCTGAGATCACAAAATATTGAGGAGTTCCTGGTTTCAATCCTTTTACTTCTTCTTCTTACTGGATATCTTGTTTATACACATCTTTTCTTTGTTTCTCACTTCTCTAATGAATTACAGACAGAGTTCGAACAGGTCAAATATTTGATGATTCCATCCTACATCATTGAATTGCGAAAACTTCTGGATAGGTATCCTCTATCAGAACAAAATTCTTTCTGGTTAAAGGATATCTTTGGAGTTGATCGAGAACAATTAGGAAATTTTTTAGAAGAAAGGCGAGGTTTACCTTCTGATGGGGACATCCCATGGATCTCATAAGTATTATACCAAATACCATCAATCAAATCGCGTTTTTGAGAAATACGAGACATTTAAGTCATACAAGTAAATCAGTGTATTCATTGATAAGGAAAAGATAAAATATGAATAGTAATTGGATTGATGATAAAATAGAATCCTGGATCACGAATAGTGATTTCATTGCTGATAAAGAAAGAGAATTCTTGGTTCAGTTCTCTACCTTAACGACAGAAAAAAGGATGGATCAAATTTTATTGAGTCTGAATAATAGTGATCAGTTATCAAAGAATAACTCTGGTTATCAAATGATTGAGCAACCAGGAACAATTTACTTACGATATTTAATTAACATTCATAAAAAGGATCTGATGAATTATGAGTTCAATACATCCTGCTTAGCAGAAAGATGGGTATTCCTTGCTCATTATCAGACAATCACTTATTCAGAAATCCCGTGTGGGGCTAGTTGTTTGGATTTATCATCTCATGGGAAACCCTTTTCGCTACGCTTAGCCCTATCCCCTGCTAGGGGTATTTTAGTGATAGGATTGATAGGAACTGGACGATCCTATTTTCTCAAATATCTAGCGATAACCACCTATGTTCCTTTCATTACAGTATTTGTAAACAAGTTCTTGGATAGCTTTCCTAAGGGTTTTGATAGTGATGATAGTGAGGACGACATGTTTGATGAAACAGAGGGTACCATTTACAGTCTTTTACCTAATAATGAGGGTAGTTGCTATAATTCTGAGAATTATGAAAGGGATGATAGTGACAATCTCGACCATAAGCTTGATAGCCAGTTGAAGTTTCTAAGTATGGAGGATCCGCTATCTAGCGATCTGATGGAAATAGACCGGTTTTATCTCACGCTTCAATTCGAATTAGCAAAAGCAATGTCTCCTTGCATAATTTGGATTCCAAACATTCATGATCTGGATAGGAATGAGTCGAATGACTTATCGCGGGGTATATTAGTGAACTCTCTTTCCAGCGATTTAGAAAAAGGTTCTACTAGAAATATTCTAGTTATTGCTTCTACTCATATTCCAAAAAAAGTAGACCCTTCTTTAATAGCTCCTGAAATTCTGGCTGCAGATACTCAATGTCACGTTCAATGTTATGACACCATATCTGACTTTCTATAAGACAGTAAATACAAGAAAACAGTCAAGAACACAATCAATTGTTTACCCAGTTCAGTGTGCAACAACACCTACTCTGGGGGCTACCAAGCCAGGGAGGAAATCCACTATAAGAGATATTAATTCAGGAATAAACCAACCAGTTTATCTCCTTCACTTAAGACCTACCCAATGCAACTTCTATCTAAGTACAACTTAAACCTGAGTTCCTACTCACTCCCCCTCAATCACAGCAGTGATACTTAAAACAATTGACTAATGAATTGATGAAGACACTCTTCAAAACATACACTTGATTATGCTTCACAGCTTTTTTAATCAAGCAACACAAACACTCTTGCTTCACAGCTTTGAGTGATACATAAACCTAACTTGACTTTGCTTCAAAGCTTCAGTCAAGAGACACAAAAACACTCTTGCTTCAAAGCTTTGAGTGATATACAACCCTTACAATTAAAGCCTATTCCAAGTCACTTATCACAATGATACTTGCTTGGATTACAATAGTTAAAACTATACAGCTTCTAAATGTTCTTCTGTCAAAAAGGGATTGATTCCAAAACAGCAGCTCTGTTGAATATATAGCAGCTGCATCTTCAGTTAGGGTTTCCATAAAAAGCTAGGGTTAATTCCGTTTGACCTTAAGACTGGGTCACGGGACTTTATCAACCAGGTTAAGAATGAGCTAGGTTAACCCCAAGTCCACGAGATTTCCTGTTCTGGAAAGACTGAGTCATTTTCCTGAAAAAACTCAGAATTACCCAAACTGCAAAACTGTTAGTTCAGAACAGGGTGTCTTAACATTTGTTATGACATCTGAAAACCTGTCTACTGATTTAGGTAAATGTGATCTTTTTGCAAAATGCTCAGATACACACTTATAAACAGCAGCACCTGTATGACAATATTTTTCTGCAAAGGTATCTAATGAATCAGTACCTAATAAACTAGAATGTTATGACATCAGTCATGACATTCATTCACACACCTGGTTTTACCAAATGCATGCCAATAACTAAACAACTACAAACTCCCCCTTTGGCAGATTTTTGGCTAAAGACCCTAAGCAATCAGAGATAGATAGCAGCAGAATAAATATGACTGCAGAAAAATAGAATGTCTAATAAAGTCTACCAAAATATATCTCCCCCTCTTTAGCCACAAATGGGCCAAAGATACATGTTCTTAAAATTTATACAGTCATCCAGAAAAAGTAACACAACAAGATAAAAACTGAACACACTTTGCAAACTCCACCAGGGACCAGCATCAACTCCACTAATCAGCAACTCCACCAACCTTTAAGCACTGTCATCAGACTCAGAGGAGCTAGTTTCTTCAGTATTGAGATGATCTTCAGCTTCTACACCCTCTTCCCTTCTGTTTCCTTCAGCTTCCTCCTTTTCTAACCTGGCAATTAGGTTTTCTAGGGTCTTTTTCCTAGCTTCCAGCTCTTTGCAGGTCTCTTTCAATACAGTTATAACATCAGATGTTTTGGACCGAGTCTTCACAGAAGATGTTTCAGCTGATGTTATAACAATATCAGGAGCATGAGATCCCTAAAACAGCTTGTAGTGTAACCCAAGAGCAGGAGCTCTTTTGCAAGCAGTATCTCTTGCCACCAGGATATCAGGGTATTGTGCAAGGATAATTCCACAAAGGAGGGAGGGAAAGGCAATTGGGCCTTTGACAGCATAACTACCAGCATGTTTTAAAGTTTGTTCAAAAATATACCTGCCATAGTCAAAAACAGTCTTGGTTCTCACAACATAAATAAATCTCCCCAATCCTGTGGAGATAGTTGATTTATGGTTTGTAGGGACCCAGTTGGCTGCACCAATCTTGTGCAGGATGGAAAATTTCATGCTAAGTTTGTTGGCATTCAGCTTGCCTTTCAAGGGCCAGCACTTCACTTGTCTTGCTGTGATGGTTTGACAAACTTCATTGTTAGTGACTTCCAGTTCAGGACAATCCTCATTTGATCTTCCAAGAAATTTGTTAATTTCTGATGGAGAGAAATTAACCCTTCTTCCTCTAACATAAACACTTTCAAAGTCAGCTGACCTTCCATCAGCACATTCATTAGACAAGTTAACTATGAACTCCTTGACCATATTTTCATAACACTTGGTAAATTTTACCACTGTCTTCATTAGTCCAGCATTCTTAATCAGGTCCATGATGTCCTTGCACTCCATGGCATCATTGTTTAGCTCTCTTTCTAAAGCTATTCTCTTCAAGCAAACATACTTCCATCTGTTTGCATTGTCAGGATGGTGAAAAGAGATGTTGTCTATTGGGACTTCAGGAACTCTAGCAATTTTGCTGGAGGGGAGTTTTCTTCTGATAGGAATTTCTTCAGCATCAATCTCAAACTCTGATTCCTCATCAGAATCAGAAGATTCAGGTTCTTTTCTCTTCTTTGTAATTGGTTTTCTACCAGTATACACCTGGGCTTTCACCTTCCCTTTGGACTGACCAGTTTTCACAGATTCTACCCCAGCCTTGCCTTCAGCCTTGGATTTCTTAACAGCAGGTTTATCTTTGGTCATACATTTTGCATCATTCTGATTACCCTTTCTTTTCATTATTCTCCTAGCTATGCTAGGGTTTACATTGGCAATCAGATCATTGTCTGAGTATTCCTCATCCACATCAATGATAGGTGGATCAACAGTCTTTTCTGAAGGGTTCTGAATGTTGTCATTTTGTGTCACAACATTCTCAGAGACATCTACATTCTCAGAGACATCCACATTTGGGCTTACTGATTCTTGATTTAATGGGACAGAAATCCCCGGTACAGATTGGTTTCTGCTTAGTATTCTTGTCACAAGCCTAGCAATTGCTTGATGAACTTGAGCTGATCCTTCCCTATTTGGAACAGAGGAAGAAGGATGAGAAGGATTACTAGAAGCAGTAGCTTGAGCTCTTCCTGCATCCTAGTTCTCAGCTTTTTGACTTTGGAGGGGTCAGTTGCCATTTCTCTGAGAGGAGTGATCTCCAGGACATCAGAATCTATGCATGTGGTGACTGCTCGAGAATCTTGGTCAGATGATGAAGATGAAGTGGTCGCCTTGGTTGAAGATGATGTTTGAGACATTTTGATTGACTTAGAGCACCAGTAGCAATTTGAGAGAAAACTTTGATGGAGAGAAAGGAATAGGTTGCAAAGACGAGAGAGGTAGGAGGCAACTGAGAGTCTATTCAACTTCTTAATAATTTTGAAAGAATTGGAAAGACATATGATTAACCTACTAAAAATAGACTCAACACAAATAACTCCTTCAACCCTTGTTTTAAGCAAAATTTATTGCTATAATTTTTCACGTTGGCAAATACCCATCTTGCCCCTCAAGTTTTCAAGTTGATTTCCAACAAGAGCCTTGGTAGAAGAATCAGCTAGCTGAAACTTGATGATACCATGTTCCTGTTTAATTGTCTTCTTCTCTACAAGGTCAATGTGCTTGGTCCTGCTATGCTGAATAGAGTTCTTGGAAATATTGATTGTATTCAGATTGTCACAATACAATGTCACAACATCTTGTGAGACATTATACTCAGTGAGCATCTGTTTTGTCCAGATATTTTGAGAACAGCTACTACCAGCTGCAACTATTTCAGCACAGAGTTGGGAAGGCATTCTTTAGACATGAATCATAGCTCTGGAAGATTCCTGTATGATCCTATTTTTCTTTTTGTCAACTCCATTTTGATGATGAGTTATAGGAGAAGAGACTTCATGACTCATTTTTTCTGGGAAACAGAATTTATTAAACTTGTTGTTTCCAAATTCTTTGTCATGATTACTTCTGGTTCTGACAACACATCCTTCTTCAAGTTTATTCACCACATCATAGACATGTCTCTTTTTACCAAGCCTTTCAATTTGAAGTTCACCACAAACCCTCCTTTTATCAATTTGCAGTCTTGGAATCCTTCTGACTGCTTCCATAGAGATAGTTCTTTTCATTCTTCTTAGATGAAGATGGCCAAGCTTATGGTGCCACAGTTTCATCTCTTTTTCTTCTTTGGTAATGGAACACATAGTGGAGTTATTAGTGTTCTCAGGCTGCCACAAGTAACAGTTATCTTTATATCTGATTCCTTTCATTACCACTTCTAGTTTTTCATTAATTACTAGACATTCAAATTTTGAGAAGATGACCTTGAATCCTAGATCACACAATTGACTGATACTAATGAGATTAGTAGTCAGGCCTTTTACCAATAGAACTTCATTTAGATTTGGAACTTCAGGGCAGTCCAAATTACCAACTCCTTTGATTTCACCTTTAGCACCATATCCAAAGGTCACATAACTAGTGGTGTGAGGTTTAACATGATTGAGAATGTTCTTTATTCCAGTCATGTGCTTAGAGCACCCACTGTCAAAGTACCAGCCTTCCCTTGCAGAGACTCTCAGGGAAGTGTGGGCTATCAGGGCAGTAGCCTTTTTCTTCCATTGAGGAGTATGTGGTACCCTTTTTGACTTAGGTTTAACACCTGAGTTTTGATTAGGGTATCCATGCAATTTGAAGCAGAAAGGCTTTATGTGGCCATACCTCCCACAATGATGACATCTCCAGGTTTGGTACTTTTTCTTCATATATCTCTGTTTCTGATGTTGAGAGTTGTGTTAAGACATCTGCTTTGACATTTGTTTAACAGGCCTGATCTTCTTGTCTGCACCAGATTTCTTAGCTTCCACAAATCCTAGTCCAGATTTGTTTCCCACATTTTGTCCAACTTGAAGAATCTCTTCCAATTTGTCTGTTACATTAGTCAGCATCTTGACAGATTTGGTCATTTGGTTCAGTTGTGAGTTCAGCAATTGAACTTCCCCTTCTAGATGACTTATAGTTTCAAGGTCTGCCCTTTTTTCAGCCTCCAGCTTTATGATGAGTTTTGATTGTTTCTCATTCTGCACACAGACTTCAGCACTTCTGATACACAATTTCTTGTAAGTATCAGCCAGTTCTTCAAATGTCACTTCTTCATCA